CGCCAAAATTTCATAAAATCAAAAAGCAACCACGGAAATTTTTGAATGTTTTTCATGTTTAGGTAAAATACGCTGGTTTTTAGAAGTACGATATTTTGTGTTTTTTTTTTTTCACTAAATTCAAGAAAAATAAGTTGCTTTTAGGTTTCAAAACACAGAAGCGACGAACACGAGACTTTTTTTTATTAACATTGGTGGAAATTTTTCACAAATCAAAATTTTTCAGTATTTGAAATACATATACTAAAAAAGAATGTACCAAAAAAGCTTCACACTGAAGTATAATTAACCCAAAAACTTATACTGGAGCCAGTGCATTTTTCAAATTTTCCAAAAATTCGTCAAAATTTTCATAATTTTTAAACGAATCCAAAAATGATTCTACCGAGTTTTCCTATTATTTCCTCGGTAAATTAGAGATTCGAGATCTATTTGTTTAATTTATAGGTCAAGACAAATTCGATTGTTTTCAAAAAATTACAAATTTTTCCAAGAATACAATGCGAGTCAAAATTTTGTAAAAATAAAAAAATATACTTAATAATCTTATAAGAAAATTTTTGGGTTTTAGATTGAAGTATAATTAACTCAAAAACTTATATTGGATTTTTCTAATTTTCCAAAAATTTGTCAAAATTTACATAATTTTCAAATGAATCCAAAAATGATTCTACCGAATTTTCTTGTTATTTTGTCGGTAAATTAATTTGAGATTCGAGATCTATTTGTTTAATTTATAGGTCAAGACAAATTCGATAGTTTTCAAAAATTACAAAATTTTCCAAAAATACAGTGTGAGTCAAAATTTTGTAACACAAAAAATATATATAATTAATAAACGTATAAGAAAATTTTTGGGTATTAGATTGAAGTATAATTAACTCAAAAACTTATAGTGGAGCAAGTGGATTTTTCTAATTTTCCAAACATTTGTCAAAATTTACATACTTTTTAAATTAATCCAAAAATGATTCTACCGAATTTTCTTGTTATTTTGTCGGTAAATTAATTTGAGATTCGAGATCTATTTGTTTAATTTATAGGTCAAGACAAATTCGATAGTTTTCAAAAAATTACAAAATTTTCCAAAAATACAGTGTGACTCTAAATTTTGTAAAAATAAAAAAATGTAATTAATAATAATCTTATATGAAAATTTTTGGGTTTTAGATTGAAGTATAATTAACTCAAAAACTAATATTGGAGCATCTGGATTTTTCTAATTCTCCAAAAATTTGTTAAAATTTACATAATTTTCAAATGAATCCAAAAATGATTCTACCGATTTTTCTTGTTATTATGTCGGTAAATTAGTTTGAGATTCTCGAGATCTATTTGTTTAATTTATAGGTCAAGACAAATTCGATAGTTTTCAAAAAATTACAAAATTTTCCAAAAATACAGTGTGAGTCAAAATTTTGTAAAAATAAAAAATATAATTAATAATCTTCTAAGAAAATTTTTGGGTTTTAAATTGAAGTATAATTAACTCAAAAACTTATATTGGATTTTTGTAATTTTCCAAAAATTTGTCAAAATTTACATAATTTTCAAATGAATCCAAAAATGATTCTACCGAATTTTCTTGTTATTTTGTCGGTAAATTAATTTGAGATTCGAGATCTATTTGTTTAATTTATAGGTCAAGACAAATTCGATAGTTTTCAAAAATTACAAAATTTTCCAAAAATACAATGTGAGTCAAAATTTTGTAACACAAAAAAAATATATAATTAATAAACGTATAAGAAAATTTTTGGGTTTTAGATTGAAGTATAATTAACTCAAAAACTTATATTGGTGCAAGTGGATTTTTCTAATTTTCCAAAAATTTGTCAAAATTTACATAATTTTTAAATGAATCCAAAGATGATTCTACCAAGTTTTCTCGTTGTTTTGTCTGTCAATTAGTTTGAAATTCGAGATCTATTTGTTTCATTTATAGGTCAAGACAAATTCGATAGTTTTCAAAAAATTACAAAACTTTCAAAAAATACAGTGTGAATCAAAATTTTGTAAAAATAAAAAAATATCAATAATCTTATAAGAAAATTTTTGGGTTTTAGATTGAAGTATAATTACCTCAAAAACTTAAATTGAAGCATGTGAATTTTTCTAATTTTAAGAATAAGAATAAGAATAAGAATAAGAATAAGTTTATTGCACAACTAGAGCAGCGTACAAAAAGTTAGAATGCAGGCTAACCCTGATACTAAAACGATTCTAACTCATACCTACACACATTAAAAACATACAATATACAATTAGAATACGTAAATAAGTAAAATAAATAAAACAACCTAACAAACATAGTCAAACTTAAAATCTACGAACATTAACATTTATGTCGTGACCATTTAAAATATCAGACTTAATTCTCTTTTTGATACAAGAACTGGATGCATTTAAATATATCAAAAAATTATTGTTAATATGTGATGCTAAGTAGGAGAAAGACGACTGAAACTTTGCAGTTCTGTGAACAGGAATCTCGAGTCGTTGATCAACATGTCTTAAGTCTCTTATATTTATTTCATTTCTTTTAATCATTTTAACAAAAAGATATTCAGGAACATGAGTTTCTAGAATCTTTTTAATGAAATTTACGTAATGTAAGAAACGCTGTTCATTTAGCTTAAGTTCTTTTAAAAGTTTTATATATGGTGAAATATGTTGAAATCTCGGTACGTTAATAATAAATCTCACACAACTATTTTGAATTTTTTGAAGTTTGATTTTGTCATACTCCGACAGACACGGACCATAGACTTGAGTACAATAATTTAAGTTAGACAATACTATTGATTTAACTAAAATGAGTTTAGTGTCCTGATCTAAAGATTGTCTGAGAGGAGCAAGCTGCTTTAGTTTAAAATAACTTGAACGGCATAATGCAGAAACATGTTGTGAAAAATTCAGACATGAATCAAGGATTACACCTAAATTTTTAACAACACTTTCACAGGGAATTTGTTGTTCGTTAATGACTAAATTAAGATGAATGTTTGCCGTTAAAGTAGAGGAACCGAATATTATGTTTTTACATTTTTTAGTGTTTAAATAAAAAGAATTGCAAGCAGTCCATTGAAAAATTTCTGCCAAATCTTCATTAATCTTAATCGGAGCTGTTGTATCTTGAGGATGAAAGCTTAAATACATTTGAATATCATCAGCGTACAAGTGCATGGTACAGTATTTAGGCACAAACTGAATATCGGATATAAATACTGAAAACAAGAGAGGACCTAAAATCGATCCCTGTGGAACTCCTCTTTTAATGTCACGAGTGGCAGAAGTGTCTTGACCTGTGACAGAGTTTATGCGACAAACCTGTTTTCTATTGTGCAAATAATTATTAAACCATTTTAAGGTAGAATTAGTTACACCGTAATAAGATAATTTTTCCAACAAGCAATTAATATCGATGGAATCAAAAGCTTTAGACAGATCTAATAAAGTTAATGCAGTAACGTTTCCCCTATCCATATTACGCAAAATATCATCAACAATAGACACTAGGGCTGTAGCTGTACTGTAGCCTTGACGAAAACCAGACTGAGTCATTGGTAGGATATTTATATTTGAAAAGTACTCTTTAAGTTGTTTATACATGAGCGATTCCGAAATTAATAACATAATTGGTTGTATACTTATCGGTCGTAAGTCATTTAATTCATTAACCTTAGATTGTTTGGGAATGGGTGTCACACATGATGTTTTCCATAGACTTGGTACAATACCGTTTTCAAAGCAGATGTTAATTATATGTGTCAAAGGTGCGCATACGAAAGGTAGCGAGAGTTGTAACATCTTAGCTGATATACCATCATGACCTGTCAAAGAGGGTTTTAACTTGAGAACTACATCCCTTACAGTTTCCTGTAAGGGATGTAGATGATCCTTTAATTTTCCAAAAATTTGTTAAAATTTACATAATTTTTAAATGAATCCAAAAACGATTCTACCGATTTTTCTTGTTATTTTGTCGGTAAATTAGTTTGAGATTCGAGATCTATTTGTTTAATTTATAGGTCAAGACAAATTCGATAGTTTTCAAAAATTACAAAATTTTCCAAAAATACAATGTGAGTCATAATTTTGTAAAAATGAAAGAATATTTTTTTATATTTTGATCAAAAATGTTTTTTTTTTCGTATGTAAACTCCAGTACGGTTTAATGTGATGTTAATAATATTTTAAGAAAATTTTTGGATTTTAGATTTTTTGTCCAAACAAAACTCGATAATTTTCAAATATTTTGCCAAAATACCGACAATTTAATAATTAAATTTTACAAAAATAACTTTGTAAAGTCTCAGAACTGGTGGTAGCAAGACTTATTTTGTTCACCATGTTTTTTTTTTTTTCAAAAATTCGTCAAATTGTTCCAGATATTTTTAATAAATTAAATTAATAAAAGTAAATGAATCGATTTATTAACTCTTGCTCAGCGAACATACTAAAGAATGTTAACAATAATAATAATCATAATCATAATGCGTGCCGTTGTTGTTTACTAAATTCTAGACATCATTTCCTCTTAAAATATAAATCCGTCCGAAATAATTTATGTGTACCCCATAAACAAAAACAAACCCACCAATGAATAATCAATACCCATTAACCACACCATCCCGCCTTCCATGCACCCAATCAAACCCCAGATTTTCCACAACCTCAGACCGCATTCCCTGACTCATCCCAGCTGTTATTTTCGCAAACACTCGTTACACCGCAAATCTCAATTGTCTCCGCTAATCACCATCTTGATCGAACTGAATTTTTCATACCGATGAATCATCACCGAAACGACACCGCATCGATTTCCCGATACCCAACATTCGCGTCTACTTTTCCCCATCTTTAATTTAAACCGGGAACTTTCGCAGCTGGCGAAGTTGGTAAAAGGTGACATTCACACCTCAGAAAAACCCGTTTCGTGTCGCAACTCGACCCAGCCTCGATCCGAGTCATAATAATAATATTAATGATGTCTTCAGGTCCTCTGGGAATTTCGGGAGCGCGGGGGCCCGTTCGGCTCCCGGTACGCCGCAAGCAACCCTCGGTACCACTCCTGGGGGCTTCACCGAGCTCCCCGTGTCTCAGCCGTGCAGTCCAGGATGCACGTCCCCCTCGATCCAGCGCAGTCCAAGTCATTCCCTCTTCACCAAATGCGATAAGTGAGTATTGAAGGTAACGTAGGTCGCTGCTGGATGGCGCGAAGAACAACGGGCCGGTTGTGACCCCTGGGCGTCCCCACACAGGTGTTTTCGACGGTGAAAATCAATAAAAGACGATCGATCGTCTGGATAAGGCTTATCTGACGTTAAATAGTTTTATCTGTTTTATCGATGCTCAGTTGTTTTCACACCTGCGGTGTAAATGCAGGGTTCCATGAAAAATTTGCCGTTCGTTGTGTATAAAAAAGGGACGAAAATGACGAGGGACGACACGAGTAGTATTAGCAGTACCGGATCTAGCTGGAGTAGTACCGATTCGGATACGTAAGTCGCAACCTTGTTCTATTTCGTGTGCGGGGAGCCGTGATCCTGAACTTTTCTTCTGGCCTTTCGTTTTACTTTCGATCGTACCGACTTATGTATTCGGTTTACGCAACGCGGTTTAATATTACGCCAGTACCACCTCGGTACCGACCAAACTGGCTTGTTTAAATTCGGGTTTTTACAATAATAACAATAATCGGTGCAATTATGGACGTAATTGTTTGAAAAACTGGATCGTGGATTCCAAGGCTAGTGATGACGTCCTCCCAAACCTGTTTCGACGAAGTCATAAAGTCGTACAATGTCTGGTACTTTCGGTGTACCAACCCCAAAATCGTGGTCGCAGCCACGTTAGTCATGCTATGTTATTATGACATTCAATGAAGTACTGCATCGATTATCGAACCTCTCGAAATGATTATCTAAATATTAAAAACAACAGATGTTTGGTATGTCGAAAATAGATTTAGAAGTGAGTTGTAGATTTTATCGGTGGTCAGGAATTTAGTGACGAGGTACTTTCCTCGTCCATTGTGTATGTATTTTTTCTCAAGAGATGGCTAGTCACGGATAGAGGGCGCTTCAAACGTCGCCACCTTGATCGATCCATCTGCAACATAATAAACACGCTTTATCAGATACTCAGTAATAACCTTGATGATAATAGATAAAATCCGCATCTAATGGACGAAACTAAACCCGAAAATAGTCACTGTCTGTGTTTTGTAAGACCTGGCGCCATCTCTTTGTTGGTTTTTGGCGCCATTAAGCTGTCACAATTTTACAAATTTATTTCGCGACGAACTTCACTCACTAAACAAAGAAATGCAAAGGTTGTCGACACCGATCTAGCATCTTGTGAAAAAATAGCGTTCACACCGGATGGACAGCAGGAATCGTCATCCGAAAATAACTCCTTTCAAAAAAGGGAAAAGGGAGACCTACTTTTACCAATTGTACGACCCGGAAATAAACCCGTCCCGCTGCCAAGAGCAACTCGCGTCCATCAATCTATTTCCGTCGCCGGCACCTGCCGTCTATTTTCCGCGGACTTGTCTTCGCCGCCATCCAGTCTCGCAAGCCCGATTATCTGAATTGCGCCGTTAAATGCGTATCGGAAGTCGTTAATTTCGCCATCTGACTCCTAAAGTGAACATCCTGGATGGAATTTTTAAATTCGCTTCTTTCCGTCCAACGTTCGGCCCAGTTTGCACCTTGATGGCGCCCTCAAGCACGCTGTTTTGGTTCGCAGGGCTTCTTTGAAACACTTGTCCACGTCTACCCCCGCGATGACGGCACAAGCTCAACTCACCGAACCGCCGAGTCCCAAGACGGCGAAAGAGACCAAAGTGCCTACGACGTCGAAAGCGCGCCAGAAGAAGTTCAACAGGCACTTTCCGGCAGTGGACGAAGACGAAAAAGTGCTTAATCGTAAGTTAGCTCATGGTTTGTTAATTTTTGATCTGTTTCTGCATGTTTAAAATTTTATGTTGGCATACCTGATTGTCAAATTGACTTTTATGGCACTAAGTTGGTAGCTGTCAACTACTCATCATCACGTGTGTCAACTGTGAAGTGGCGTACTAGCATTGCTGCCAATAATTCAAAATTGCCAACACAAAAGTTAAAAATCATTAATAGAGTATATTTTATAATAATTGACTCAATGTGTATGTGAAATTTGTGCTGGCAAAATCGTCAAAAAACACGTGTAGGGTTTTCAAATTTCAATTGATTCAGTATATAAAACCACAAAATGATAACTATAGACTGTCTGAATTCAAATTTCAATTCATAAACACAAATGTCAAAAATTCTGAAATCTTTAATTATTATGTGGTGCAACTGGCAATGTTGCAAGTGTCAATTTTACTTATTAATTCTAGTGTGAAATAATTAAAGTTGTGTTTCATTTCCTTTTCACTGACAGTTTGTTTCTATTTTTAAACTTCAAGGATGACAAGAGGCTCTCAAACTTCGTAATGTCTGCCTTGTTCTTTGCTTATTTGGTTTTATTTTGGTTTTCCCATATATTAATTGCTGTGTCTATTAATATCTCCTTACTCTCTTCAGCCGTCTTCCAATTTCCATATCTGGTTTCGCTCTTGTTGTTTTTTAATTCTTAATCGATCTATGGTTTGTTCCTATTCCTCTATATTGTCCCATTTTTTTTTGTTCTTATTTGTTATCCCAAACTTAAAAATCCACCAACGCCACAATTTCTTTTAAAATACCAAGTAACTATTAATGTTGGTGATTATTTTTGTCAGGTTGGCAATATATTTAAAATGTTGCGATGGCTTACATGATTGTCAAATCGAAATTTGTGGCTTCAAGTTCAAAAACAAAATTTATATAGGGCTCCGAGATTCTCTCAAATTTATTTAAAAAACCAGACACAAGGAGTCCTCGAGATTCTTTCAAACTACTTCAAAAACAAAAGAGATCCTCGGGATTCTTTCAAATTACTTCAAAAATAAAACACAAGCGGTCGCAGAGATTTTTGAAACTACTTCAAAAACAAAATCAAAGGGATCCCCGAGATTCTTTCAAGCTACTTCAAAAACAAAACAAAAGAGATCCTCGAGATTCTTTCAAACTACTTCAAAAATAAAACAAAAGAGGTACTCGAGATTCTTTCAAACTACTTCAAAAATAAAACACAAGGGGTCTCCGAGATTTTTGAAACTACTTCAAGGACAAAACAAAAGGAGTCCCCGAGATTCTTTCAAACTAATTCAAAAATAGAACACAAGGGGACTCCGAGATTTTTTAAACCGTTTCAAGAACAAAACAAAACAGGTCCCCGAGATTTTTTCAAACTACTTCAAAAATAAAAGACAAGAGGCCGCCGAGATTTTTGAAACTACTTAAAAAACAAAACAAAAATATCCTCGAGATTCTTTCAATTACTTCAAAAATAAAACACAAGGGGTCGTCGAGATTCTTTCAAACTACTTCGCAAACATAAGGGATCCTAGATAGATAGATAGATAGATAGATAGATAGATAGATAAGTTTATTGCACAACAGTACAAACTGTTAGTTAACAGTGTATACCTACTGATAATTAACTTAACTAACCTAAGAATAAAACAAATAAAATCATACATCAAATACAATAAAAAAGGAACACAAATTTAAAATTTATTAAAAGAAATGCCTAAGTCGGATCCTCGAGATCTTTTCAAATTACTTCAAAAATAAAACAAAATGGGTCCCTGAGTTTCTTTCAAACCACTTCAAAAATAAAACAAAAGAGGTCCCCGAGATTCTTTCGGACTCCTTCAAAAACAGAACAAAACATATCCTCGAGATTCCTTCAGACTACTTCAAAAACAAAACACAAGGGGTCCTCGAGATTCTTTCAAACTACTTCAAAAATACAACAAAAGGGGTCCACAAGATTCTTTCCAACTACTTCAAAAACACAAGAGATCCTCGGGATTCTTTCAAATTACTTCTAAAATAAAACAAAAGGGGTCCCTGAAAGTCTTTCAAACCACTTCAAAAATACAATAAAAGGGTTCTCGAGATTCTTTCGAACTACTTCAAAAATAATACAAATGAGGTCCTCGAGATTCTTTCAAACCACTGCAAAAATAAAACACGGGGTCCCCGAGATTTTTGAAACTACTTCAAGATCAAAACAAAACGGGACCCGAGATTCTTTCAAACTACTTCAAAAATAAAAGACAAGAGGTCGCCGAGATTTTTGAAAACTATGTATTTCAAAAACAAAACAAAGGAGTCCCTGAGATTCTTTCAAATTACTTCAAAAACTAAACAAAAAGGGCCCCCGAGATTCTTTCAAACTGCTTAAAAAACAAAACAAAAATATCCTCGAGATTTTTTCAATTACTTCAAGAATAAAACACAAGGGGTCCCCGAGATTCTTTCAAACTACTTCAAAAACATAACGGATCCTCGAGATTCTTTCAAATTACGTCAAAAATAAAACAAAATGGGTCCTTGAGTTTCTTTCAAACCACTTCAAATATAAAACAAAAGAGGTCCCCGAGATTCTTTCGGACTCCTTCAAAAACAGAACAAAACATATCCTCGAGATTCCTTCAAACTACTTCAAAAACAAAACACAAGGGGTCCTCGAGATTCTTTCAAACTACTTCAAAAATACAACAAAAGGGGTCCACAAGATTCTTTCCAATTACTTCAAAAACACAAGAGATCCTCGGGATTCTTTCAAATTACTTCTAAAATAAAACAAAAGGGGTCCCTGAAAGTCTTTCAAACCACTTCAAAAATACAATAAAAGGGTTCTCGAGATTCTTTCGAACTACTTCAAAAATAAAACACAAAGGATCCCCGAGATTTTTCAAACTACTTCGAGAACAAAATAAAAGGGGTCCTCGAGATTTTTTCAAACTACTTCAAAAACAAAAGAGATCCTCGAGATTATTTCAAATTAGTTCAAACATAAAACAAAAAGGGTCACTGAGATTCTATCCAACTAGTTCAAAAACAAATCAAAAGGCGTCCCTGAGATTCTTTCAAACTTCTTCAAAAACAAAACAAAAGAGATGCTCGAGATTCTTTTGAACTACTTCGAAAATAAAAGAGATGCTCGAGGTTCTTTCAAATTACTTCAAAAATAAAAGGCGTCCCTGAGATTCGTTCAAACCACTTCAAAAACAAAACAAAAGAGGTCCCTGAGATTCTTTCTAACTACTTCAAAAATAAAACACAAGAGGCCCCTGAGATTTTTGAAACTACTTCAAGAACAAAACAAAAGGGGTCCCCAAGATTCTTTCAAATTACTTCAAAAATAAAACAAAAAGGGTCCCTGAGATTCTTTCAAACTACTTCAAATTCGAAAGGGATCCTCAGGATTCTTTCAAATTACTTCAAAAATGAAACAAGAGGGGTCCCTGAGATTCTTTCAAACTATTTCAAAAACAAAACAAAAGGGGTCCCTGAGATTCTTTCAAACTTCTTCAAAAACAAAACAAAATGATGCTCAAGATTCTTTCAAACTACTTCAAAAATAAAACACAAGAGGCCCCTGAGATTTTTGAAACTACTTCAAGAACAAAACAAAAGGCGTCCCCAAGATTCTTTCAAACTACTTCAAAAATAAAACACAAAGGGTGCCCGATATTTTTGAAGCTACTTCAGGAACAAAGCAAAAGGGGTCCCCGAGGTTCTTTCAAAGTACTTCAAAAACAGAACACAAGGGGTCCCCAATATTTTTGAAATTACTTCAAAAACAAAACAAAAGGGGTCCCCGAGATTCTTTCAAACTTATTAAAAGATAAAACAAAAAGGGTTCCTGAGATTCTTTCAAACCGCTTAAAAAACAAAAGGGATCCCCGGAGTTGTTTCAAAATACTTTAAAAATCAAACAAAAAAGATCCTCAAGATTCTTTAAAATACTTCAAAAATAAAACACAAAGAGTCCCCGAGAGTCTTTCAAGCTACTTCAAAAATACAAGAAAAAGGGGTCCTCGAGATTCTTTCAAACCACTTCAAAAATAAAACAAAAGGGCACCCCGAGATTCTTTCAAATTACTTCAAATACAAGACAAAAGGGTCGTAAAATTGTGTCAAACTACTTCAAAAACAAAACACAAGTAGTCCACGAGATCCTTTCAAATTGCTTAAAACAATACACGAAAGATCCCCGAGATTTTATGAAATTACTTCAAAGAAAATACATCATGGGCAGCGTGATCAATAAATACTGTTTCAGTTGGCATCATTGAATGTTGCTTGCAATTGATAGACCATTAAATTTACGTCAAATTTATTAATAAAATGTAACCAGACTTTCCCGAACGCGTCAAAGTCACATAGCGCCAAACATTTGAATCAGGTTTGGCAATAGCAGCGAAAAAAAATTCTTTCAGAATTGGTTACCAACTTAAAAATGTGCTTCGATCATTAATAGTCACCCGGCACCATTGGCAACCTCGCCAGCGTCAATTTTAGCGATTTATTCTATTGTGAAATATTTTAAAGGTTATCTTTCAATTCCTTTTCATTGACAGTACAATGCGACATGAAACTCTCGAACTTCGTAGTGCCAACCCTATAATAATAATTAACTATATGAATGATCAAGTGGTTGATTTTTGATGTTGATTCCATTTCTCTTAGTGAATATAGTGGACAGTGTGGTTTTCTGATATGATAACCTTGCAGTCATGTTTATTCATCCTGTTGCTTTAAGAATATTTATACTTTGCAAATAAATTGGGATTTTCCTGCACAACCGCAGCCAGATTATAGCTAGATAAATGTGCTTATAGTCGTACAAAAGATACAGATTTGTTTAGGCTGGCCAGGGAATTTCATAAGATATTATCTATCACGATCTTTTCAAAGTAGGCTTGACTATAACAGACGGATCAGTTTGTGCAACCTGAAAAAAAAAATCGGTGTCTAAACCAACTAATTTTTTTTCTTTTGTCGTAGATTATTCCTGTGCTCTCATCGGTGATATCCTGCTGCAAGGGCATCTGTACATTACCAAGAACTACTTCGCGTTCTACTCCAATGTGTTCGGCTACGTAACAAAGGTAGATACACCCCCCGAAGCCCTCTGCAACCCAAATCAAGCCATTATTTCGTTGTAGCTTCTCATTCCTATGTTGTCCGTGGAGAAAATAACGAAAGAAAAAACCGCTAGAATTATTCCAAACGCCGTCGGAATAGAAACGAGCGAGGATAAGCACGTTTTCGGCAGTTTAATGTCGCGCGATAACACTTACCGTTACATGGTCAAGGTGTGGGAGGTGGCGCAAAACGCCTCACTTTTGGTCGTCGAGCCGGATATTGTGGTAAGCGCTTAACTTAAGTAGGCTGCATTAAGTGATGACGTTATCGGTTTTTCGGGTGGTAGCGAAAATACCAAATTTGTTGGTTTCAGGAGCCCGTTCCTGGATCCGACAGCGATAGTTCGGAGACCCGAGAAGGCGAAAGTGGGAGGGAATCACCAGTTCCCAATAACCGGCTGCCGCACATCCTACCAAATGTGGACGGCGTTCTTAAAGAAGGTGCTTGTTTCTTTGCTCAATGTCCATAAAACTGACGGAGTGTTTAGTTTCAGGCCCTAAGCTGGAGGCAGAGCACTCCGTGGAGGTGGTCTACGTCTTGAAGCAGAGCATTTCCAAGTTTAGAAGCCTACCAAGACAGAGCCTAATCTTGTTCGCCACAACGCTGCTTCTAATCCTCCTCTTTCTCTCAGCAGCGGTGCTGCTATATCGAATTAGTATAATCCAAACCAAATATTCCTACAACTTACAAGAAACCATGGTCGCTGCTGGCGGCGAAGAAATTTACAGCAACCTGCTCCAGTATCAAACTCACTTACATTCGAAATCGGCCGGAGCCGTGCACGATTTTTTAGACACGAATTTAGATCAAATTGCAAAGGTACTATCAATTTTTGAGTCAGATTTGATCAGTTTTTAATCGTTGTTGTATGTTTCAGGTGAGGCAGTCCTTGGAAGCGCTGTCGACTTTGTTGTTGCCCGACAACAAGCAGCAAGAAGCGAATTCCAGGGACACTAGTTAGCCGCCCAAGTATCAAAAACGTTAACTTATTCTAGAAAGAATGTGATCAGTATTCAGTCTTTATTAGATTTAGGATTTCCACTTAAGATGTTGCCCACCATCCCAGTATCGACTAGGAGAAAAAGGCCTGTTTGGGCGCGAGTCGCGTCACGTAGGTCCTAATACAGGCGAGACCTGTAGAGTACGCTATTTGCCAAAATAATTGCCATATTATTACCGTTGTATAGTCAGCACACTGTAACATGAAGCTCAATACACAATGGCAGGGTTTCTCGTGTACAGCGGATCGCAAAAGGAGACTGGACATGTTTCTGTTCACTTATCACGCCATCTAGTACAAATTCTTTTAGTTGAATTCCACTCGACCATAGAACTGTCAGCGCCTTGACACTATCAGGTATTAGCAATAAAATGCATTTTTACGCGTGGGAACTAACGCTGTGAATTGGTACTGAAGGTTTTAGGTAATTGAAATTGGGATTGTGTTTTGTAATTCTAGAATTCATAATCCTTTAGGCGAAAATTGTTGATATGGAAAATATTTAATCTTTTATTTATGTGTACAGTTTTCATATGTAGGTCTTAATAGGAAAATGTACATTTTCTGTTTTTAATTTCACGTACCTATTCTGATGATTATATGTTAGGTGTTAATTTATTGCGGTTAGTGTTAATTGTTTTGTGAATACCTTGTTTTTTTTTGTAAAATGTTAACATATAGACGAAACCTGTGATATCTTATTTGTTTTTGCTTTTATCAATAAATAGTGTTACAATTTGGATAACGCTCATTCTTACACGACCAGCAGCTGCGTAGGGCACTCTATCCCCGTTTTTACACATTTCTAACTGTAGCAAAAATAAAAAGACAAATTATTTCAACATATAGAAAAAAATAACGCTAGGAGCCTCCAGTTTCTCCAAATAATAACACTAAGAAACCCCTAAATTTTTGTGTTCTCTAAAAAAATTACACTATTAGCCCTGGAGGTTCCTTCAATTTCTCTAAAAAAATACTAGCGAGACTCTTTCGCCTTTTAGAAAAAAATAACACTTGCTCCCCCCGAAGTTCTTTCAGCTTCTCCTAAAAATAACACTGGAAAACCCGAGCTCTTTTTGTCATTAAAAAAAATAACGCTTGGCCCTCAAAATTCTTTCAGCTTCGTTAAAAAACACTGCTAGGGGACACCAGGGAACTTTGAGTTCCTTTCAGCTTCACTAAAATAGATCCAACGGGACCCCGAAATTATTTCGCGATAAATAACACTAAGAACCCTTGAGATTCTTTCATCTTCTCCAAAAAATAACACTAAAAAATCCAAGATTCTTTGTCGTTTTAAAAAAATAACATTATATGCCTTCGGGATTCTTTCAGCTTCTCTAAAAAAAAAAACACTAAGGGACTCCGGAATTCTTTCAGCTTCTCCAAAAAATAACACTAAGGGACCCCGAGATTCTTTCAACTTCTACAAAAAATAACACTAGAGACCTCGAGATTCTTACGCCTTTTAGGAAAAAAAAACACTAGTAGTCCCCGAGATTCTTCCATTTTCTCCAAAAATATCACGGCGATCCCGAAATTTTTCCACTTTATAGAAGAAAATAACACTTGAGCTCCCCCCTCAGGTTTTTTCAGACTCCCAAAAATAACACTAAGAACCCAAGATTCTTTTATCGTTTAAAAAAAACACTAAGCTTAGGGGATTCTTTCAGTTTCTCTAAAAAGAACGCTAGGAGACCCGAGATTTTTTCAGCTTCTCCAAAAAATAACAGTCGAGGACCCCGAGATTCTTTCCCCTTCTAGAAAAAAAAAATAGCAGTAGGCGCCCCTAAGATTCTTTCAATTTCTACAAAAAATAACACTAGGGGCCCGAGATTCTTTTGCCTTTTAGAAAAAAATAACACTAGGAGTCCCCGAGATTCTTTCAGCTTCTCCAAAAATAACACTAGGGGTCCCCGAAATTCTTTAACACTTTCAGCATCTCAAAAAAAATGTACTAGAGATTCTTTCCCATTCTAAAAAAAAAAAATAACATTAGGAGCCCCTAAGATTATTTCAATTTTTACAAAAAATAACACTAGGGACCCCGAGATTCTTTCGCCTTTTAGGAAAAAAAACACTAGAAGTCCCCGAGATTCTTCCATCTTCTCCAAAAATAACACGGCGATCCCGAAATTTTTCCGCCTTATAGAAGAAAATAACACTTGAGCTCCCCCCCTCAGGTTTTTTCAGACTCCCAAAAATAACACTAAGAACCCAAGATTCTTTTATCGTTTAAAAAAAACACTAAGCTTCGGGATTCTTTCAGTTTCTCTAAAAAAAACGCTAGGGGACCCGAGATTCTTTCAGCTTCTCCAAAAAATAACACTCGAGGACCCCGAGATTCTTTCCCCTTCTAGAAAAAAAAATAGCACTAGGCGCCCCTAAAGTTCTTTCAATTTCTACAAAAAATAACACTAGGGGTACCGAGATTCTTTTGTCGTTAAAAAAATAACACTATAGACCTTCGGGATTCTTTTAGCTTCTCTAAAAAAACACTAGGAGACCCCGGGATTCTTTCAGCTTTTCCAAAAAATAACACAAGGGGACCTCAAGATTCTTCCCCTTTCTAGAAAAAAAATAACACTACGAGCCCGTAAGATTCTTTCAATTTCTACAAAAAGTAACATTAGGGACCTCGAGATTCTTTCGTCTTTTAGAAAAAAATAACACCACTTAGTACCCCTAAGATTCTTTAAACTTATCCAAAAAATAACACCAGGAACCCCTGAGATTCTTTCTCTTCTCCAAAAAATAACACTACGAACCCAGAAATTATTTAGGCTAATAGAATAAAATAACACTTAAGCCCCCCCACGTTTTTTCAGATTCTCCCAACAATAACACCAAAAAACTCAAGATTCTTGTGTCCTTAAAAAAATAACACTATAGGCCTTCGGGATTCTTTCAGTTTGTCTAAAAAAAATGCGGGGACCCCGGGATTCTTTCAGCTTTTCCAAAAAATAACACTAGGGGGCACCAAGGTTCTTTCCCCTTCTAGAAAAAAAAATAACACTGCGAGCCCGTAAGATTCTTTCAACTTCGACAAAAAAATAACACTAGGGACCCGGAGATTCTTTCGCCTTTTAGAAAAAAATAACACTAGGAGTCCCCGAGATTCTTTCAGCTACTCCAAAAAATAACAATAGAGGTCCTCGAGATTATTTCGCCTTTTAGAAAAAAATAACACCACTTCGTGCCCCTAAGATTCTTAAACTTCTCCACAAAATAACACTAGGGGACCCAGAAATTCTTTCGGCTTATAGAAGAAAATAACACTTAAGCCCCCCCCTCCACGTTTTTTCAGATTTTCCCAAAAATAACACTAAAAAACCCAAGATTCTTTTGTCGTTAAAAAAAATAACACTATAGACCTTCGGGATTCCTTTAGCTTCGCTAAAAAAATACTAGGGGACCCCGGGATTCTTTCAGCTTCTCCAAAAAATAACACTAGGAGGCCGTTAGATTCTTTCAACTTCTACAAAAAATAACACTAGGGACCTCGAGATTCTTTGACCTTTTAGAAATAAATAACACTAGGAGTCCCCGAGATTCTTTCAGCTTCTCTAAAAAATAACTAGGCGACCCTGAAATTCTTCCGCCTTATAGAAGAAAATAACACTTGCTCCCCCCCCAGGTTCTTTCAGCTTCTATAAAAAATAACACTAGTAGAAAACCCAAGATTCTTTCATCGTTTAAAAAAAATGACACTGTAGGCCTTCAATTTCTACATAAAATAACACAAGATTCTTTTGCCTTTTAGAAAAAATAGTAAGATTCTTTCAACTTCACCCCGAAATTCTTCTGCCATATAGAAGAAAATAACACTTGCTCCCCCCCGAGATTCTTTCAGCTTCTCCAAAAAATGACACTAGGGAACCCGAGACTCTTTCCTCTTTTAGAAAAAAATAACACTAGGAACCCCTGAGATTCTTTCAGCTTCTCCAAAAAATAACTCTAGGCGATCCCGAAATTCTTCCAGCTTATAGAAAAAAATAACACTTGAGCCCCCCCCCCCAGGTTTTTTCAGACTCCCAAAAATAACATTAAAAACCCAAGATTCTTTTGTCGTTAAAAAAAAAATAACACTATAGGCCTTCGGGATTCTTTCAGATTCTCTACAAAAACATTAGGAGACCTCGAGTTTATTTCTCCTTTTTGGAAGAAAAAAATAACATCAGGAGCCCCTGAAATTCTTTCAACTTCTCCAAAAAATAACACTAGAAAACCCGAGATCTCTTGTCATTTAAAAAAAGTAACACTAGGCCCTCGAAATTCTTTCAGCTTCGTTAAAAAAACACTAGGGGACAATTGGGAACTTTTAGACCCTTTCAGCTTCACTAAAATAGACCCTATAGGACCCCAAAATTCTTCGGCCTTATAGAAGAAAATAACACTTGCTCCCCCCCCAGATTCTTTCAGCTTCTATAAAAAAAACACTAGTAGAAAACCCAAGATTCTTTCATCGTTTAAAAAAAATAACACTCTAGGCCTTCGGAATTCTTTCAATTTCTACAAAAAATAACACAAGGGACCCCAGATTCTTTTGCCTTTTAGAAAAAATAGCACCAAGGGCCCCCAAGATTCTTTCAACTTCACCCCGAAATTCTTCTGCCATATAGAAGAAAATAACACTTGCTCCCCCCCGAGATTCTTTCAACTTCTCCAAAAAATGACATTAGAGAACCCTGAGATTCTTTCCTCTTTTAGAAAAAAATAACACTAGGAGTCCCCGAGATTCTTTCAGCTTCTCCAAAAATAACTCTAGGCGATCCCGAAATTCTTCCGCCTTATAGAAAAAATAACACTTGAGCCCCCTCAAGGTTTTTTCAGACTCCCAAAAATAACACTAGAAAACCCAACATTCTTTTGTCGTTTAAAAAAAAAACACTATAGGCCTTCGGGATTCTTTCAGATTCTCTAAAAAAACATTAGGGGACCTCGAGATTATTTCTCTTTTTTGGAAGAAAAAAATAACATCAGGAACCCCTGAAATTCTTTCAACTTCACCAAAAAATAACACTAGAAAACCCGAGATCTCTTGTCAATAAAAAAAAATAACACTAGTCCCCCGAAATTCTTTCAGCTTCGTTAAAAAACAATAGGGGACACTAGGGAACTTTTAGACCCTTTCAGCTTCACTAAAATAGACCCTATAAGACCCCGAAATTCTTCTGCATTATAAAAGAAAATAACACTTGCTCCCCCCCGAGATTCTTTCAGCTTCTCCAAAAAATAACATTAGGCGACCCCGAAATTATTCCAGCTTATAGAAGAAAATAACACTTGCCCCCCCACCCCGGTTCTTTCAGCTTCTCTAAAAAATAACACTAGTAGAAAACCCAAGATCCCTTCCACGTTTAAAAAAAATAACACTCTAGGCCTTAGGAATTCTTTCAATTTCTACAAAAAAATAACACTAGGGACACCGAGATTCTTTCGCCTTTTAGAAAAAATAACACTAAGGGCCCCTAAGATTCTTTCAACTTCACCCCGAAATTCTTCTGCCTTATAGAAGAAAATAACACTTGCTCCCCCCCGAGATTCTTTCAGCTTCTCCAAAAAATGACACTAGGGAACCCTGAGATTCTTTCGCCTTTTAGAAAAAATTAATACTAGGGGCCCCCGAGATTCTGTCAGTTTCGCCAAAAAATAACACTAGGTGATCCCGAGATTCTTCCGCTTTATAGACGAAAATAGTAATAACTTCGGAATTCTTTCAGTTTCTCTAAAAAAAAAGACGCTAGTGGAACCCGAGACTGTTTCCTGTTTTAGAAAAAAATAACACTAGGAGTCCCTGAGATTCTTTCAGCTTCTCCAAAAAATAACACTAGACGATCCCAAAATTCTTCCGCCTTATAGAAAAAAATAACACTTAAGCCCCCCCCAGGTTTTTTCAGACTCCCAAAAATAACACTGGAAAACCCAAGATTCTTTTGTCGTTTAAAAAAAAACACTATGAGCCTTCGGGATTCTTTCAAATTATTTAAAAAAACATTAGGGGACCTCGAGATTATTTCCCCTTTTAGAAGAAAAAAATTACACCAGGAGCCCCTGAAATTCTTTCAACTTCCCCAAAAAATAACACTAGGAGCGCCTGAGATTCTTCCTTTTATAAATATAACACTAGGAGTCCAAAAAATAACACTAGAAAACCCGAGATCTTCTGTCATTAAAAAAAATAACACTAGGCCCTCGAAATTCTTTCAGCTTCGTTAAAAACACACTAGGGGACCTTGAAATTCTTTCCCATTTTAGAAAAAAATAACACTAGGCGACCCCAAGATTCTCTCCACCTACTTCAAAAAAATAACACTGGGAGTCCCCGAGATTCTTTCACCTTTCCCTCAAAAAAAACACTAGATAACCCCAATATTATTTCGCCCTGTAAAATATACTAGGGAACCTCGAAAATGTTTCAGCTTTTTAAAAAAATAACACTAGGAAACCCCGAAGTTCTTTGGTGCCTAAAAAAAATAACACCAAGATTCTTTCAGCTTCTCAAAAAAAAAAATCGCCAGAGCACCCCAAGATTGTTACCTTATAGAAAAAATAACACTAAGCCTATGATCTTATTTGTTTTTGGTTTAATGAGTAAATACTTAGTGTTACAATTTACATCACCCATTCTTCCACAACCAGCATCTGCGCAACGCACTCTATCCCCATTCTCACAAATTCTGTGCATCAAAAGTAAAAATACAAGCAACAACTTTCGATTTATTGTGTTCATATCAATTTTACAGTTTTCTTCGCATGTACATACGTAAAATGGTTCCTCAAGTTGCCTTTCAATTTCGCCTTATACGGACACCTGTCGCACTGATACCACCTAATATTATTCTCACTCACGTGTTTACTAATCACGTGAACCTTCAAATTATGCGCGTACCTCGTCTTATACACACACTGCTCGCATTCGTACCACTTCACCTCCGTCTCGTCTTCGTGAAACGCGATTTTATGCTCCTTCAAACACCTGATGTACTTAGTTTTAAAAGTGCACTGGTCACACTGATTCCACTTAATGTCCTTCTCATCTATATGTATGGCGTTGACGTGCAACTTCAACACTGACTTAAACTTAGCCTTGTAAGTACACTGCTCACAGTGGTACCACTGGATCTCGCTTTCGTCTCGGTGTTTGTTAAAAATGTGTCTCTTCAAGTACTCACTGAAATTGGTTTCATAGGGACACTCCTCACACTTGTATTTCTGGGGGTTGGCAGTGGTGACGTGCACTCTACCGTGTTGTTTCAAATTATACTTGTACTTGGTTTTATAGGGGCATTTTTCGCAGTGGTACCACTTGATGGATTTTTCGTTACAATGTTGCAACTGCAAATGCTTTTTTAAGTCATCCTTATGTTTAGTTTTATAGGGACATTTTTCGTTGTTGCAGTGGTACCACTGGATGGCGCGGTGGTTATTGAGGACGTGGCGCTCCAAATATTCTTGTAAATCGGTTTCAAATGGACACTGTTGACACTTGTATTGTTTGACGTTCTTGTCCATCAAGTGTCGACTTTCGTGCTTCTTCAGGTAGTACTTGTGCTTAGTTCTGTATTTGCACTTGTTACATTGGTACCACTGGGTGTCTTTTAAGTGCTCCCAGTAGTTGTGTTTTTTTAAAGAGTACTTCTGTTTGGCTTTGTAGGGGCACTTGTCACATTGGTACCACCGAATTTGGTCGTCTTTCAAGTGTTTTGAAACGGTGTGGGCGTTTAGGGAATATTTATGTTTAGATTGGTACTCACAGTGGTCACACTTGTACCTAGTACCAGTCGTACCACCCTTATATTTAGTCCCAACATGTGTCCTACTTCTGTGTTGATTCAAATAAAAGCGGTACTTAGTTTTAAAAGGACACTCGTTACATTGGTACCACTTGATTTCAGTCTCATCCACGTGCTCGCGATCCGCGTGCCTTTTCAAAGAGTACTTTTGTTTGGCTTTGTATGGGCATTTCTCACACTGGTACCACTCAATTTCGTCGTCTTTGAGGTGTTTCGAGATTTGGTGCGCCTTCAGCGAGTACTTATGTTTCGATTTAAAGTCGCACTGGTCACAATGGTACCGCACAAACGTGCTTTCTTCACTGTGAACCTCAAGTCTGTGGGACTCCACAGCCCTTAGAATTTTCGTCTGGTAGGGGCACAGTTCACACTGGTACAGTCTGGGGGGACTTTGTTCCACTTGGTTACATTCAGCTGTGTGTTGTAGCCACTTCATGATAAAAAATGTTTCGAAAGCACACCCTTTACAAATATAACTCGGGGGGTTAACGTTGTCTTCGGTTTTAATACAACGATTTGTCTTGTGTTGTTTTAATAAGACGGCTAGGGGGGTTCGGAACGGACATTTCTTGCAAGGGTAGTTATCGATGGTGGTGGTTTCGCAGTCGAAGAAGTGGGAATTGTTGGTCATTTTGGTTACCTGTGTTGGAATTTGTAATTTCGTAACAATAAAACGTTGTGTCTCACCTAGAAATATTGTTTTTTAAATCGCTGGATTGTTATCACAGTTTGGCTACATAACCTCAAAACACAACGTTATCTCGGGTGTTTGATATGATCAAATCGATAACGTTTGTTGTCGTTTTTGCATGGTTTTTCGTCTCTGTACACGATTTAGGACTGGCGGAGGTTTTTACTAAATATAAAACTATAAAAAGAAAACTTATTTCAATCAGATGTCATCAACATCGTCAAGGTCACGAAATTCAAATTTGGGTTGAATTACAAAGTTTTGGGGACACTGTATATGGTAATATAGGCCAGACAAGTAGGAAACGATCTAAAGATAAAAAATTATCCAAAAATAATATAAAAAAAAAATTTCGACTTGTAATATTTACTGTGACCCTTATCGCGGGATGCATAAAGGCGAACATTGCGTTCACCATTTAAGGTCATTTGGGCTGTATTATAAAATTTTGGGACACTGTATGGTATTGGTAACAAAGGTATCGAGAAATAAAAAAGAACACAATGTGTGAAAATAAAAAAAGATTTAGACATTTTATAATTACTATGATCCTTATCGCAAAGTACATTGGAGCGAAAATTGCGTTCATGAAGGAAGTCTACAACATTTAAGGTTAAATCAAATTTGGGGGCATTTTATGGTCACAAAGGCCACGGGAAACAAAAATCGATAAAGAAATAAAATGTGTGACAAAATAAAAAACATTTCGACAGTTAATAATTGCTATAGCCTTATAGCGAGGCACATAGCGGCCAAAATTGTATTCAAAGATGAAAATCTGCGCCATTTAGGGTCATGAAAAAAGATTTGGGCTGTATTACAAAAAATTTTGGCACACTGTATGGTAACAAAGGCCACGAAAAATAAAAAAGGATAAAGAAACAAAATGTAAGAGAACATAAAAAAACATTTTGGACAATTAAAAATTACTGTGACCTTATTGTAGAGTACATAGAGAAGGGAATTGCGTCCAAGGATTTAAATCTGGAATATTTTCCTCGACATTTAAGGTCACAAAATCAAAATTTGGTTTGCATTACAAAATTTTTAGGGCACTATACGATAACAAAAGCCACGAGAAGTAAAAATCCAGAAACAAAATGTGGGAGAATGTAAAAAAACAATTTCGATATTTAATAATTACTATTATGACCCTTATCCCACAGCACCTAAAGGCGAGATTTCCGATTAAAGATTAAAATCTGGAAGATTGCGTAAACAGTTAAGGTCACAAAATTAAAATTTGGGCTGTATCATAAAATTTTTTGGGCTCTGTACGTTAGCAAAAGCCACGAAAAATAAACAACGATAAAGAAACAAAATGTAGTAAAACATAAAAAAATACTTTGAACAATTTAAAATTACTGTGACCTTATTGTAGAGTACATAGAGAAGGGAATTGCGTCCAAGGATTTAAATCTAGAATATTTTCCTCGACATTTAAGGTCACAAAACAAAATTTGGTTTGCATTACAAAATTTTTAGGGCACTATACGATAACAAAAGCCACGAGAAGTAAAAATCCAGAAACAAAATGTGGGAGAATGTAAAAAAACAATTTCGATATTTAATAAGTACTATGACCCTTATCCCACAGTACCTAAAGGCGAGATTTCCGATTAAAGATTAAAATCTGGAACATTGCGTAAACAGTTAAGGTCACAAAATTAAAATTTGGGCTGTATCATAAAATTTTTTGGGCTCTGTACGTTAGCAAAAGCCACGAAAAATAAACAACGATAAAGAAACAAAATGTAGTAAAACATAAAAAAATACTTTGAACAATTTAAAATTACTGTGACCTTATTGTAGAGTACATAGAGAAGGGAATTGCGTCCAAGGATTTAAATCTGGAATATTTTCCTCAACATTTAAGGTCACAAAATCAAAATTTGGTTTGCATTACAAATTTTTTAGGGCACTGTACGATAACAAAGGTCACAAGAAGTAAAAATCAGGAAACAAAATGCAGCAGAAAATAAAAAAACATTTTCAACATTTAATAATTACTATGACCCTTATCTCTGAGTACATAAAGGGGACAATTACGTAAAGATGAAAATCTGGAACACTTCCTGGACAATTAAGGTCACAAAATCAAAATTTGGTTTGTATAACAAAATTTTTAGGGCTCTGAACGGTAGCAAAAGCCACGAAAAAATAAATAACAATAAAGAAACAAAATGTAGGAGAACATAAAAAAAAACATTTTGGACAATTAATAATTACCGTGACCCTTATTGCTAAGTACATAGAGAAGGGAATTGATTTCAAGAATTAAAATCTGGAACACTTTCGTCGACATTTATGGTCACAAAATCAAAATTTGGCCTGTATTACAAAATTTTTAGGACACTACGATAACAAAGGCCACGAGAAGTAAAAATCCAGAAACAAAATGTGGAAGAACATAAAAAAACAATTTCGATATTTAATAATTACTATGACCCTTATCCCAGAGTACGTAAAAGCGAGATTTCTGGTTAACGATTAAAATCTGGAACACTGCGTAGACAATTAAAAATTACTGTGACCCTTATTGCAAAGTACATAGAGAAGGGAATTGCGTTCAAGAAATAAAATCTGGAACACTTTCCTCGACATTTAAGGTCTCAAAATCAAAATTTGGCCTGTATTAAAAAATTTTGAGAGTACTATACGATAACAAAGGTCACGAGAAGAAAAAATTAGGAAACGAAATGTAGCAGAAAATAAAAAAACATTTTCAACATTTAATAATTACTATGACCCTTATCTCTGAGTACATAAAGGCGACAATTGCGTTTAAATTTGAAAATCTGGAACACTTCTTGGACAATTAAGGTCACAAAATCAAAATTTGGGTTGTATAACAAAGTTTTTAGGGCTCTGAACGGTAGCAAAGGCCACGAAAAAATAAATAACAATAAAGAAACAAAATGTAGGACAACATAAAAAAAAACATTTTGGACAATTAATAATTACCGTGACCCTTATTGCTAAGTACATAGAGAAGGGAATTGATTTCAAGAATTAAAATCTGGAACACTTTCGTCGACATTTATGGTCACAAAATCAAAATTTGGCCTGTATTACAAAATTTTTAGGACACTACGATAACAAAGGCCACGAGAAGTAAAAATCCAGAAACAAAAGGTGGAAGAACATAAAAAAACAATTTCGATATTTAATAATTACTACGACCCTTATCCCAGAGTACGTAAAAGCGAGATTTCTGGTTAACGATTAAAATCTGGAACACTGCGTAGACAATTAAAAATTACTGTTACCCTTATTGCAAAGTACATAGAGAAGGGAATTGCGTTCAAGAAATAAAATCTGGAACACTTTCCTCGACATTTAAGGTCTCAAAATCAAAATTTGGCCTGTATTACAAAATTTTGAGAGCACTATACGATAACAAAAGTCACGAGAAGTAAAAATCAGGAAACGAAATGTAGCAGAAAATAAAAAACATTTTCAACATTTAATAATTACTATGACCCTTATATCTGAGTACATAAAGGCGACAATTGCGTTTAAATTTGAAAATCTGGATCACTTCCTGGACAATTAAGGTCACAAAATCAAAATTTGGTTTGTATAACAAAATTTTTAGGGCTCTGAACGGTAGCAAAAGCCACGAAAAAATAAATAACAATAAAGAAACAAAATGTAGGAGAACATAAAAAAAAGCATTTTGGACAATTAATAATTACTGTGACCCTTATTGCAGAGTACATAGAGAAGGGAATTACGTTCATAAATTAAAAACAGGAACACTTTCCTCGACATTTAAGGTCACAAAATCAAAATTTGGCCTGTGTTACAAAATTTTTAGGGCGGTGTACGATTACAAAGGTCACGAGAAGTAAAAATCCAGAAAGAAAATGTGGAAGAACATAAAAAAAAAACAATTGCGATATTTAATAATTACTATGACCCTTATCCCAAAGTACGTAAAAGCGAGATTTCTGGTTAACGATTAAAATCTGGAACACTGCGTAGACAATAAAAAATTACTGTGAACCTTATTGCAGAGTACGATAAGTAAAAATCCAGAAAGAAAAATGTGGGAGAACATAAAAAAACAATTTCGGTATTTAATAATTACTATGACCCTTATCCCAGAGTGCGTAAAAGCGAGATTTCTGGTTGACGATTAAAATCTGGAACACTTCCTGGACAATTAAGGTCACGAAATAAAAATTTGGGTTGTATAACAAAATTTTTAGTTCTCTGTACCGTAGCAAAGGCCACGAAAAAATAAATAACAATAAAGAAACAAAATGTAGGAGAACATAAAAAAAACATTTTGGACAATTAATAATTACTGTGACCCTTATTGCAGAGTACATAGAGAAGGGAATTACGTTCATAAATTAAAAACAGGAACACTTTCCTCGACATTTAAGGTCACAAAATCAAAATTTGGCCTGTGTTACAAAATTTTTAGGGCGCTATACGATAACAAAGGTCACGAGAGGTAAAAATCCAGAAAGAAAATGTGGAAGAACATAAAAAAAAACAATTGCGATATTTAATAATTACTATGACCCTTATCCCAAAGTACGTAAAAGCGAGATTTCTGGTTAACGATTAAAATCTGGAACACTGCGTAGACAATAAAAAATTACTGTGAACCTTATTGCAGAGTACGATAAGTAAAAATCCAGAAAGAAAAATGTGGGAGAACATAAAAAAACAATTTCGGTATTTAATAATTACTATGACCCTTATCCCAGAGTGCGTAAAAGCGAGATTTCTGGTTGACGATTAAAATCTGGAACACTTCCTGGACAATTAAGGTCACGAAATAAAAATTTGGGTTGTATAACAAAATTTTTAGTTCTCTGTACCGTAGCAAAGGCCACGAAAAAAATAAAAAACGATAAAGAAACAAAATGTAGGAGAACATAAAAACACATTTTGGACAATTAATGATTACTGTAACCTTTATAGCAGAGTACATAGAGAAGGGAATTGCATCCAAGGATTATAATCTGGAACACTTCCTGGACAGTTAAGGTGACGAAATCAAAATTTGGGTTGTATAACAAAATTTTTAGGGCTCTGTACGGTAGCAAAGGCCACGAAAAAATTAAAAACGATAAAGAAACAAAATGTAGGAGAACATAAAAAAACATCGTGGACGATTAATAATTACTGTGACCCTTAATGTAGAGTACATAGAGAAGAGAATTGCGTTCAACGATTAAAATCTGGAACACTTTCCTCGACATTTAAGGTCACAAACTCA